ACTTTCTAGCAAAGTTTTAAGAAATGGATACTTGTTATGTTACTTCGAAAGAAATCTCGTCGCGTTCGTTTAATAATTTTGTGTATAGAATTAACGCAGCTTGGAATGCGGATAATTTTCGAATTAGCGTGTCCGTCGTCCTTTTTCCCGATAAGATAATACCGTATCCCGTTTTTTTCTCTTTGGTGGGCAGAATCATGGAAAAGTTCCGTTGCCGGTGTCACTTCCGCGCTACGACCGGCGATCGCGGCTGTATTTTTGCGACGATCAAGTGTGCTAATTGGCTGATTATAATTTCAAATACGCGCAATGGATCCCGCGCGGCGATACGATTGAAATTTACTATAAATAGGCATCGCTTGGGCACGGCTGATGGTTTCCTCTCCGATAAAAGCTATTTTATCGTGTCCGCGTAATGCTCGGCGACACGTCCGAACAATCTGACTCGCATTAATCGACCAGTACCGTAACAGTAAATCTATTTGCCGTTAACGTTGTTGACTGTCAAACCGGCGCCCATAAAAGCCCCCTTGGAATCGGAGTAATTCGTTTAATTAAACGGAAACTGGACACTTCAACGAGTAGCAATGTAACGTGAAAATGAATTCCTATCTATATCCGATGAAGAAGTTGCTTATGTAGAAAATAAACGGTTCAACGTCGGACGAGTTGTTTTAAATTCAAAAGAATTCCAAAAATCGAGTTAAATTCGTTGTCGTGCGAGATAAGATAAGATCGGGCCAACTTCCTTTTCCGGAACGGTAGCGTAATTTGCGGAAACGTCGCGTTGCTTGGACCTGCTGACTAAACATTTGAACCTAGATAAATCATTTTCTTCTGGTAGAAACATACACACGGTTCGAGCTCGCGTCGATTCCATCCGGCGACCGTGTTTCCACGATAATATGCGCGCAGGGCCTGGGACCAGCCGGTAAACCGGTTCGTGCGGAATATAAATTGAACCGCGAAACGCGGTCCTCCTTTTTTTCTCCCGTCGTCGCGTATATCCAGCGCCGTGCGCACCTTAATGACTCGCGATCAGTTTTTTCGGATCTCTCTCGAGCCAGGCTCCTTTTACATGAATTATCCTTCGCCTGGCTTGGGGGATTAAAAGACCTGTACCGGACACGTTTATTCAGAACGCGTATATAGAATCGGATACGGCTGCACTGACCCCGTACGTAGAAACTACGATTTCGATCATTCTTCGCGCTCGACGTGCAACCTAGTTTTTCCTCGTACTTCCACCATCTGTAAAACTCTGTCGAATATTTGTTTTGAATTTTGCCTTTAACACTTTTGCTAGTAACCGCAATCTTGGTGACGAGTCTTTATTTTCAAATTACAAATCGACATCGGTTTGTAATTCTAAGCAGTTCAAATTTTCGGGAGAATACAACAAATAGTAAGTTAATTTGCATCTTTCAGCTACGATCCCTTCATTATCTCCTTCCAATCAGAATTCCAATTTACAATTTCGACATTCTTCTCCGCGTGTTCTGTTCCTTTGCCAAGGGTCCAGCTGTAAACAGCACGCAGAACCAGGGGAAGATAACAATATTTGCTTCTCGAGGGACCTAGGAATCATCTATTAACACCATACAACCAGCACATCGAATGCCGACATTGATTAGTTTCAGAAAACGTTGTTTACATTTCATCGGAGAATGCCCACTATTCTAGTACAAAACCTTCGAAGTCCAAAGGGTTAATCGCGGACGGGCGCAATCGTGATCTGCGGACATGCGACGCGTCCCATCTCGGCGTCGGGATTTTCGCGTCCACCGTCGAAATAATGACTCTATTGATTCTCGTTTACATTGCAGCTTGCGCAACCGGTATTAGTCATCAGGCAGAGCCGGCTCGGAACGCGACCGAGAGGCGACGTGTAAATGCCGGTGATTGAAAATAACTACGGTCGAGCGGAGAGGGCTCGCCCGTGTCTGGCCGCGTCTGCTTTTGCTAGCCTCTGCTGCCGTGCGGTGGCGGCGGCGGCGGAGGGTTCGCATCGTTGTAAATTAATGACGGGGACCGCGTCCGTATTTGTACGTCCGAGCCCTCCTTCCCTCCGCGCCCCGTAGTTTCGCAATCGAACGTAAATATCGGGTCTTTCGAGGCCCACGATTATGCGGCTGGGTTGCACGATATGCAAATCGATCGCGCGCCTGCCTTTTTCGGACTCGCCAGGATCTCTCTTCTCGTCCCCACCGAGCGCAGAGCATCCCGAGTTATCTCGTTGAGTTAATGACTCCGAATTACTCCTCAATCGGCGACGTTTATGCCGTTTCGGTGGTCCACGTCGGGATATACCGTTTATACACGGTGACCGCTGAATCATCCATGCTCTGCTGGTTGGAGGTGTGTATCGGAGGTTCTGGAAGCGACTCGTGACTCTTAGTCGATTTTGCGGTCAGATTTTAACTCGATGTTTCATCTTCCAGTGAACGGTGAATAGTGGGAATTGTTTCAACTGGCTGATGAATTTTTCCGTAGAATTGTGCGCTATCTGCTACTTTGTTTCTTGATGTTTGATGATTCTTTGGATTTCATCGTGTAGGCAGGGAATTCGATAGATACTTCAGTAGCTGATCGGAGAAGACGAGTTAACTTGTCGATCGGGTTCTATCATGTCTTCATATAACTTCTTATTTTCTTATTTTATTACCCGGCTATACTTGTTCTCAATTATTCCAACGTTGGGGTGTGCTATTCCTGTTTATTATGGAAGAAGTGTATCGTATCTTTATCAATCCTCGTGTCTATGTGTGCAACATCTGCAATAGCAGAAAATTTTACTGCCTTATTAATATAAAATGTCATTACAATAACAGATTACCATCCTACAATGACCGCTAAAAGAATTCTTAATCAATTTCCAGTGCACGCAGGTGCAATATGCAACTGCACCCGTCCAAGTGTAATCTATATCCATTAAAAATCATTTCTTCCACAGTATCGACTACACGATATCGACGTCGGCAATTTGTTTCGTTCCGTCTCGAATTCGGTCAACGCACGTGAGAGATCAACATATCGCGCGAGCGTGCAACAGAATCCGGCATTGCATAATGTAACCGCGGAAGATCGTTTTCCTCGGCGGTCGTGTATGACGAACGCTCGCGGCGATGTCGCGCAGTATTTTCGTGACCCCCGGCTGACATTGCCAAAAGTTAGCTATACGGGCGGCAATGGAGGGACACACCGGGGTCTCGCATGAGTGGAGGCCAAGGTTAAGGTCGACCCCTCCACCTTGCGATGCCCATTCGTTCGACTGCCTCCCGACACTGGCATTCTGTGCGACTGGCTGGCTGCTTTCGATTCCGCTTTGTTGTCTTCCTGACACTGACGTAACATTTTACCAAAGGAAGGTTCGACCTATGCCTTCATCGTCACGAGCGTATCTCTGCGTTGCTAAAATGCGAATCATATTTTCGAAGGATACACAGAAGCTCATTAATAATCGGCTGACTATTTGACTCGGGTAGCAAATGAATTTAAAGATAACACCCTATTAATCTTCAACAGTCAAAAGGTTATACGGAACTGTAAAAATCATTTCTATTTGTCATAATTCCATAAAGTCTTATTAATGTGTTCTTTCTGTATTTACCTAATATTCTATTATATACGAAGCAAGTGTTTATTACTAAAAAATTTATGATTGTTAAGGGTTAATTTGTATCAAAACCCCACTGTTATTATTTCAAAAAGAAACCAGAAGACTTCATCCCAACAAGATGTACCAAAGCAAGTGAATTCAATTGAAACTTCCAACGTATCCACACGGTGGTTCACCGAGCTTCACGAAATTATCAAACCGTTCCGGCGAGGCTACGTATCACGTAAATGGACCGATCTCGAAGTTTCCTCCTCATTGATTCCCGGTCCTCGGAGTGGCAAAACTTTGTCCGCGTCGGTATTGACTAGGAATCGATTCGACTCGAGGTTACCCGAGCTGGAAGCCGAGAGAGACAGACATCCGGTTATTGAGTTCCACGTGAGTCGCAGACTCCGCAGTGGAATCAGACATCAAGATCAGCCGTGTGTAAAAGTTCGCATACACGTGTCTCCTACGTGCTCTCTTTTCTCTTTTCGTACTCTCTCGATGTATATTCCTACCCGATCTTACCGAAACTATCGGTCCGAGTAATTTCGAGCTTTTGTCTTCCGATACTCGACCGCTCCCGTCGAATCGTTTGCATCAGGATCAAGGATAGCGCATTCCGTTGGGGTGAATTTTCGCTTCATTCAGGGGCGGTTTTAGGGACTACGCCAGGTCTCTTTTTTAACAGTAGAGATACACGAGAGAGTACACGAGAACCTGGTTCTCCACGAGAAGTACCCTTCCTCGCTTTTCATCGGCTCGCAAGGATAAACGCGCTAGTCCTGATACCGCGCGACCCTCGTGTCGCCCGACACTCGTAGGGTTATCAAGCCGAAGGGGCTGGAATTATTATGTACCACGGGGAACCCCCGATTTTTTCTCCGTAGGAGGTTTTAAAGGGATCGTTTCCAGCAGGAAGAGCGCTGTACCGGTTGAATAGGGGCCTTGTTTTTTTTACTGTAATTCGCTAATACGACATGCAGCGTGGCTTTTATGCTTCCGTGTAACTAGATGCGGAGTCTTCATACAAATTCACGTTTGATGAATTGTAGGATGAGAGGGGTTTTAGCGAAATACATCGCAGTTTTCGTGTTTTAGAGTAACTGGAAATGGAAGTTTTGAGAGGATTATTGGCATTTTGTAGAAAGTTGAATGAAAGTCAATAGAAATTAGAATCAGTGGAAAGTTTATCGGTTCGAATGTATTTGGTTTCTTGTGTTCAATGGAAATACCAATTTCATAAGTGTATAAGAATGTAGAAATAATTTTTAATAATATTTTGATTTAAAATATTGTTAAATTTTAATTTAATTTAATTTAATATTTTTGATAAAAATGTAATAATTTTTAAATCGATCTGGTTATGTTTTAAATAAACCGTTTCTGTTAATTGCAGGCAAAGCTGCGGGGCAAACGGCATCTTCTCCCGCCGTCTGGACTTCAGCGCATTTAACAGCCTCCCCCGTACTAAGCTGAACTCCTATCATATCAAGGTGAGTGGTTAATGATGCGCCTTGGGTCACACAAAGTCGCGCGACTCGTTTGTAAAAGCTCCTCTAGACGGTACAGCGCGCGTATCCTAGACGGAGAAAGTTTGATATAGTAACCCCGATAGAGCCAGCCGGGAGGAGAAGCTATACGGGATTCCTTAAAGCGGAAGGCTCGTGGTAGAGCAAGGTCACGGTGAATAGCGAGATCCTCTTACTTTAATCTTTCCTTCGGAAAATTCACTTGACTCTATCCTTCGCGATTTTTATCTAATTGAAAAGTCTTAACGGTAACTATATATAACCGAGCGTACGTTAATATACATTTTCTTCAATTTATTTAATGTTGGGCACTTAATAAAAAAGGAAAAAGTTCTAGAAGAATAAAAGGACTTCGACAAATTATCCTTTGAAATGAAATTTTTGTAGTATCATTAAATAATTTGTTTATTTTCCTTATAGTCCTTTTTTCTGGTAACTCGAAATAAGCTTTAGGGTTGTTGCGTCGTCGCAGAAATGTGTCGCGCCCTTAACCATCGTCCTTGATCCAGATAATACCAGCGACCATCTGCGTGACGCGTGTACCGCGATCACGATCTCCACGAAATAATCTCCACGCGAGCCAGACTCGTATTTCTTCCCTTCTTTTCGTTGGTATTAGGGCTCAACCGAATCCTTTCCCGTTTGCGTCGTCACAGTGTCGTCCTACCCCAAATCCAGCCGGGAAATCAATACCTTCATCGCGCGACGCGTGCAATTTCGTCCTTAGCGCGCGGCGTAATACTTTCGTACTCCTATTATCCAATGCTCCACCAAATACATCATCATGAAACTTCAATAATAGTTTCATATCGATACCTACGTCCTTCGGAGAAATTGCTCACATAAATAAACCACAACAAGAAATACTAAGAATAAAAGGGCGTGGAACATACTTCTACTAGAACCATGAATTACCAATGAAATTACTATGAAACTTGGATAATAGTTTCATCTTAACAATACCTTCAGAATAAATTCTTTATTGAAACCGTAATAAGAACTCTACTAGAACTATAATAACAGAAAACACAGAATCTTTTACTAACGTTTAATTCGTTATTTCATTTAATTACACGAAAATCTTTACATTTTTGGCGTGTATTTCGATTCATTTTTGTGGTTCTCCTTCGACAGAAGGATTTTCCGAGTTTTTTTAGGCAGACCTAGCGGACGCAAGCTTTACACAAGCTAGACGTTTAATCGGCGCCGGACGACGGGGCGTATACGCGCGCGTTGCGGTAGGTCGATCGATGGGAGAGGAAGGATACGAGCCAGATACGACGCAATAAGGTTCACGCCACCGCGAAAGTGGAAAGAATTCTTTTGATGTTCCTCCCTCCCCGATGATTTATGACGGTCTACAGTTTATGGGGCTTTTACACGCGCAGAAGACCACGGGACAAGCCGATGCGACGCATTTCTCTGGTGTCGCCAGGGTTTTAATCCTGCGCGGTGGTATCCTTGCGGTATGACGCTCAACTCCGTTCCGTCGAGACGCTTATATGGGTCATGAGTATTTTATTTTTCATAGTACGCGGGTGTCTTACATTTTATGGGTCATGAGTATTTCGGTTTCTTTTTATGGGCGCGGGTTATTTGCTACGGGTCGTGCTGATTTTATGCGCTTACGGCGCTTGTACATGCGTGGAATGTTGAATAACAAATGCTCTACTAATGTTAAAAGGTTCTCTTAGATTATTTTTATTATTTTAACACGTTGGATGCCGTACGATTTCACAGAGCAAAACACACGAAATGGGGAATAAATAAAATATTAAACCTATAGAAATGTTTTCAAATAATCATCGTTTGATTGAGTGAACTATATTAATTAGATTTGGTTAGGGGTCACCGGTAAAACCCCCATGGCGTTCAACGTGTTAATCAATTTCGAAATCAATCAATCGAAATAAGGGAAATCGGCTCCATGCAAATTTTAAATAAATTAATGAATGTTTGTATAGTTGGAAACAATAGGTACTGTGGAACGACACTACGTAATTCATGAATATTCAGTAGTATTATATAATCCACAAAACTGTTTACTATCGTTCGTTAAAATATTCATTGTTTTTCGGTGACTTCATACGGAATATTAAATAAAATTAAATGTCTGATTTACATGTTCAGATAGTAAACGTGATAAACCTTATAAGACGGCTGACCTTGAATGAATTTCGACACTTTTTGTGGCCATTTTAGAATCGCTGATTCCGTTAGACTTTCAGATAACGAATCGAATTACATACACCTTTAGGTTATTAATCAAGCTGTTGACATTTTGAATATCTTATAAGAAGATAATTACTGAAGATATTCAGACTAACCTTGAGCCGATATATTGGCATATTTTCGAAATTGATGTGTTCTTGTTCATCATACAGCATATGTTAACAAGGCAATCTACGGGCGGCTGGATGCATTGGTCAACTGCTTCATTTGTTCATCAAATTTACACGGTATTCGGAGATTCCTACATTTACCCATATTCACATGGATTCACTAACCACTGCTGGTTCTCTGCAGCCAGTTTTAATTCCCTGCTGCACAATAACAATGTAATTTCTTTCATTTAATTAAAGAACACAGAACGTCACTGAACAGCATCCGCGGCCATATTAGGCTGTAGAGGTCACGTGACTTGAGAAAAGGCGCGCAAAACAGATCGGGCGCGCCTCTTCGAACTAGTTACGACGCATCCTGATACTTTTGAACTAGTTATTTTTCAACAACTTTTAAACATAGAATTTGTTTAGGAATTTGTTCTAATGTCTTCAATGTTTATTTTTATTGTAAATATACACAGTTTTATTATATTATTAATATGTAAACTTTTGAAGATATTAAGAGGCTACTTTCAGCAGATTCAAATGAATAGTTTTGCGCTCTTTTTCCCGCCTTTTACTCCCACCTTTCTGAATCTGTTGTTATGTCATTATTCGTACATATTCGACCAATATGGCGAAAGTAACAGTGGGAAAGGTATTTCGTGCTCTTCAATATGTGAAAATTAGTTTCATTAAACTTGTCAAACGAAAGTTTCAATCTTGATTCGGGAAACTATAACTTGCTAGAAGTCAGTTTATTTGTAATTCGTAATATATAGCTGACTATTATTTGTATATATTGTGAAAGTAAAGTTGATCATGCTGAGCTCCCGAAAGTCGCCATATTCGATATACAAAAGAGTACGAACCAATTTATGGTGAGTCTTAAAATTATCTTTTCCAAGTTAAGACATTTAAACTGTTTATTTCCCTGATAGCACATCTACACGTTTGAATACAAAGAATATTTTTTAATGCAACTACGGGCACATTGTCCTCCTAAAAATATCTAATCACTTTTGATGTATGCAGTCCATTCTAAAAAGGAAATGGCAGCTATTTGAATATATTATTTCATGACTCATTGGTGAATTGTATGTTAATTTCAATAGTACATAGATATTAAGACTAACTACCCTTCCGCGTATTTTTTTCATTAGAAAAGTATAAATTTTTACCCACTTACAAAATCAGTTGGAACATTTTTTTGTCGAAATGACACGCGATAAAATGTATAAATAAACACAGTAGTATTTGCATCGGTCGAGAATATCTCCGCAATCGGCGCGGAAGGGTTAATGCATGCAGCACGGGGTCAAGTTATAAAGCGCTTTTTATGAATATACATCGACCGGTAAACGATACCAGCGAACGACCGCGACTCCATCAATGTCCCGGGTACACGATTCCAAACGTCACCCAGAATTCCCGTTCCCACGAGCAATTTTCTGGTTCCGCGAAATGAGGGGAAAATTGATGGATTACAAATTGATTTAACGACGCGGTTATACGACCGGTGTAAATTCGCCCGATAACGAGCGATTGCGTCACGGGGTTGGGCGTGTAGCAGCGATATGGTTGAAGCAAATAGGAAACGCGGGCGCGAGACTAATTTACCAATCCTCCGATCGTAATTAACTCTCATCCTGTTATCCAAGAAAAAACCGATCTCTCGCCGTGCGAGATACTACGCGTTACACGTAGATTTCTGCGTTGCACGAATTCTCGTGTACCCGGCCTTCGAATTATCGTCCACTTTGGGAGACCGCCCGTGCGGCGCGGAAAAAAGAGAATCAGGATGACTAGCGAAATAGCCCACCGGTCCCCCTACGGAGTTCGGTAAGTGGTGGTGTCTCGAAACGAGCAACCATAACAGAGAGAGTCACCCTATTATGCTTTCGTCGGCTAGGTAGGACCTGCTCTCTGGTCCTGAAGGGCAGGGGTCCGAAAAAACACCAGCCAGCCAGCGAAAGGGGTTAATTTGCGTCTCGTCGCGGGGCAGAGTCGGGAATCAGGCTAGAATATCGCTGCGTGTTCGCGTTTTGTAAAAATACTGCCGGAAAGAGGGTAGTAACCGGGACGAGGCGGGGCTAGGGGTCTACTGGTCGGCTGCGTAGGGTGTTCTTTTTACGTCTGGCTGTTTCGCGTAACCTTTCATCGCGCGCTCCTCTCGCGAGTCTCGAGGAAGCTAGCCCATAAAAGCGGGGAACGTGTTCCGGCCCTCCTTCCCGCGGTCCACGACGCCGCTCCGCGTTATTTATTCCTCTCGTGAACGCAGAAAAGGGGCCATGGCTATATTAGAAGCAACAATGGACACGGCAGCAACGGCAGCCCCCGCAGCTTTACAGCGCGAGCCGTAAGCCGCCCCGTTGGATTCCTTTCATTTGACCCGCGAGACGAATCGTGGCGAGGGATTTTCCCAGCTGTGAAAAGCTGGTTTGCGTTTTACGACCTCCCCGCGACCGACCCACTGTAAATGAACGTGCAGCCTTCTCGCGCAACCCTCGCGCGAATCATTCGCTATGCGTCGCGATAAGCTCCTCTGACTACTTCGACTGTCGCTTTTGGTTTTTAACGATACACCTGTGTCACGATTTTTTTCGGTTTACCGGAGGATTAACGGGAAAAATGACGATT